AGCTCGCTTGATCAGAAACTGGTACTATTTAAAAAAAAATTGGTTGATTTAGCAAGAGATGATAGCTCGCTTGAAAAAGATTATGAAACTTTGCTAAATGATAAGTTGTGAAAAAATGACTTTTGGTTGATTTAGCAAGAGATGATAGCTTGCTTGATCAGAAACTGGTACTATTTTTAAAAAAAATGGTTGATTTAGCAAGAGATGATAGCTCGCTTGATCAGAAACTGGTACTATTTAAAAAAAAATTGGTTGATTTAGCAAGAGATGATAGCTCGCTTGAAAAAGATTATGAAACTTTGCTAAATGATAAGTTGTGAAAAAATGACTTTTGGTTGATTTAGCAAGAGATGATAGCTTGCTTGATCAGAAACTGGTACTATTTTTAAAAAAAATGGTTGATTTAGCAAGAGACGATAGCTCGCTTGATCAGAAACTGGTACTAATTTAAAAAAAAATGGTTGATTTAGCAAGAGATGATAGCTCGCTTGAAAAAGATTATGAAACTTTGCTAAATGATAAGTTGTGAAAAAATGACTTTTGGTTGATTTAGCAAGAGATGATAGCTCGCTTGATCAGAAACTGGTACTATTTTTAAAAAAAATGGTTGATTTAGCAAGAGATGATAGCTCGCTTGATCAGAATCTGGTACTATTTTAAAAAAAAAATGGTTGATTTAGCAAGAGATGATAGCTCGCTTGATCAGAAACTGGTACTATTTTTAAAAAAATGGTTGATTTAGCAAGAGATGATAGCTCGCTTGATCAGAAAACGGTACTATTTTAAAAAAAAGAAAAGTGTGCAACTTATGACTTACCTTTATAAAGGTAAGTCATAAAGCTTTAAAAGTAATAAATCAATCAATCAATCAATCAATATATTTTCACTTAATAACTGCATATATATATACAATAGTGAGGGACATTTACAAACAGTTAAAAACTGATGATGCGTAAAGAATATAAAGCTTAAATAAAGCTTTAATAAAAGCTTAAATAAAGCTTTAATAAAAGCTTAAATAAAGCTTTAAAGGTAAGTTATAAAACTTTAACATTTATTTAAATGTTAAATAACTATTTCTTAAATGCAACAAAGTTGCATCCAAAAAATAATTAAGTAACCTACAGTTATTAAAATATTTATTTTGATGAAGTTATGTCAACGTAAATTTGTTGACAAAGTATACATAAACTTTGTCAACAAATAACTCAATTAAGCAAAGCAAGTGTAATTGTTTACACTCGTTCTTTCCCGCGTTATCATTGTTCTGCAAAATACTGAAAATAAAAAAATCTTAAAACTTTGCAAATTGAAATTAATTTTTTTTAAAAATGCATAATCAAGATTAAGAAAAAAAAAATTTAAATGAGCCTTATAAAGATTTTTGAATATGTTTTGGTTTTTTAATTTATATTAAAAAAAAAAATTTTTTAAAGATGTTTAACATAAAATTCTTGATTAATTTAAGTAAATGAAATTAAGTGTTTTAGAAATCCAGGAAAATTGAAGTGACTCAGGAGGTATCAATTAGTATACTCTTTCTTCTGGAAACGCCAATTCATTTAGCTTTTACAATTTGATTAAAGAACAAATTATTGGTTCCCGTTAACCCAATTTTTTAAAAGGTTTTACAATTGTTTTAAAGATTTTTCATTGACCTGCCGTTGAAGATAAATAACAATATTTTATCTTCAGTCTTACATTTTTCGTCTACTGTTTGATTTTAATATAAAGTTTCTTCAGTTGAACCCAACCTTTTAAAGGATGTTTGTGGTTAACTCTTTTGCAAAGTTATAGTTTGCACTTCAAAAGCATGAGACTAGCCAACCTATTGTCACTCATTGTTGTTCTCAAATGTAATTTTACAAATTTGAAATGACTAAAAAAAATGCTCGTTTATTGATAAGCAGCTGTGATTATAAAAACGCATAGTTTAAGGACTTGTTTCAGTATTTCCCTTAATTTCACATCATGGTACAAAATGTCTAGCAACGTCTTAGCTGGTGTTCTTGGTGACTTTAGATGTTCATCACCTTCTTTAAAACAGGTATCTAACAAAATTTCCATCTGGCTTTTCAGCATATTAACCTCTGGAATTTGATCCATGTATCCATGCGGAAAAAGTTTATTTGCTTTTGATAAGACTCAGTACTCCGAATTATTTTTTTTTTTTATATACATCTTTGCTAATAACGATTGACAGACGACTTAAAAGATTGCAAATCATATGAATAAGAAAAGCAAAAGGAAGGAAGCGAATTCCAAAGACCTGATATTCGAGGAAAAAAAATAGACGAGTAGTAGTTTTTGGAGCAGTCGCAGAAAAAGGATGAGACTTAATTGAATGACGAGTAACACGATAATGAATTTCAGTAGATGGCACAAGATACGCTAGATCTTTAAAGCAGTGCCTATTATAATATTTGTTGAAAAGAGAAAGAGAAGGAACGTTACGACAATGTGATAATGGTTGAAGGTTGGCCGCAAGAGCAGGTCTAACTATGTTTACAATGCGTTTATGTACCTTTTCTAAAAGATAAAGGGCATCATTAGAAGATCCGCCCCAGATATGGCAACAGTATTCCATACAAGCCCGGATTTGAGATTTATAGACATAGAGAATAGAATCCGGAGTAAAAAAGTGTCGAGGTCGATAAAGAGATGCAACTTTAGCAGATGCTAATTTTGCTATAAATTTGATATACGGCTTGCAAGAAAGATCGGAAGTAAGAGTTAATCCTAGAAAATGAAGGGTAGATGACTCATCGAGTACATTATCATTCATAAATATAGGAAGATCTAAACTTTTGCGATAACAATTGGGCGAAAAAAATTGAGTTTTATCTGAATTAAAGTTCACTAGCCATCCTTTTCAAGCTCAGATGCCCCTTCCAAGCAATCAAAGAGTGTTGGTTTTTTATCATGAAAAAATCAAATAGTAGTGTTATCAGCAAAAAATACAACCCTAGATGTGAGAATATCTGGAAGATCATTAATGTAAATTAAAAAGAGTATAGGGCCCACCTTGACAAGTTAAAGGATATTAAGAAGAGTGCTGTCCATCGAGAACAACTTTTATACTACGATTGGAACGAAAGAACTCAATAATCTTAAATATTTTACCAAATACACCGTAAGAAAGCTTGGAGAAGACCAGCATGCATCCAAATTGTCCTTATTTAAGAGATTTTAGTGATGGGGGCAAATGTTTCATACCACCGCACTTTCAATCAAACCATTCATAGCGTCTGTGATTGTTTTGAGATGATGGAATTGTGTATGTAACTATATATGAATAAATGCCTCTATTTTGAATTCAGGCTTTTAGTGTGAGGTTTTGACGAGAGATGAGATTCGCTACTTCAACAAAGTTACCTTGGTGAGCACTGTCAGATTCCCTAAACGTCAGCTCTTAAATTCCTAAAGTCTTGCATATATCGATAAAAATTTCCATAGTTTTTCTGTTCTACGCTTCATTTTTTTTTTCTTCTATCAGAACAGGTTTGTTGCATTTATCAATAAAGTGATCTATATTTTTTATTTTTGTAAGAAAGTGACAATATTCACTTCGTACGATTTTATTTGCTTGACAGATAAATTACGCATGTAGCATCTCAAGCGTGTTTTTCCCATAGCTTTTTATCTTGAACCAAGATCTTCTCCCAACATTTACCCAAGAATCTTCAGTTTTTCTCTTCTTTCCAACACCCTCGGGACAAGGCAACAGACAAATCAAAATGCAGCATCCTTCTGGTTGCTGTATTTTAAATGTTCTAACTTTTTGTAACGCTGAAGATTAAATTTATTATTACCGTCATTAGCACGTTTTGGTTAGTGTAACCCTAGTTAAGCTGATTTCTGATTACAAAGTTCTAAGGGTTTGCTAATGTTTATTGCAGGCAGTAAGTTAGAACCCAACCCTAACTCAAACTCCTTTGTGTGACTTTACAAAATGACCTTTAGTGAAACACTCATTATAAAAATATTCATCAGAAATGTTGCTCTGAAATGTGTTCAATCCATCTCATAGCATCTTTTCGTATTTCTCATGACTTAATATGGAAAACTTATCTTGCTAACTTAGTCTTTTAGAATAGAGCTTACGCTTGGCCCGTGTTTTGCAATATCTCTAACTCTCAATTCATGAAACTTTCGGCCATAGAGAAACATACAGCAATCGTATGTAATGAAGGTCTATGTTCACATCACCCTCAAAACGTCTAATTAAAGACATCTGCCTTAAATTAATCAAAAAAATGAACAAACTGAATGATCACCCAATTCAAGTATTATTTTTAGTCAGACCTATAGTGCGAAGTCTTAGGAATTCGCGTAAGCTGCAACTTCTGCACCCAAAATCAACTCGATTAATAAAATCTTTCGCGGTTTTTGAAAATTTTTAAAAATACCTAGATATTATATTTATTTATGAAGAAAAAAAATAATAATGGTAATAGTAATGATAAAAATTATTATATTAATAGTAATAAAAATAACTGGAGTAAAAACGATTTTTGATTATTCGTTATTGTACGTATTCCTGGGTCATGGCTTATCAATGCTAATGTATATTACTTTGAGCTTTGATATCAAGTTTTTCTAAAAAAAGCGTTGATTAAAATTAAATTAACAAAATTGTTGATTATTGTGTTTAAGTTATTTTGTAGAAGAATATTTAAAAAGTTCTTAGCATTATTATTCGGAAAATTGTTGATCAGGTTTATGTTAAAATCTCCAACCAAATAAAAATGCTTTCTAGAATAATTAATTTTGTTAAGGAATGTTTTAAAATGAGTTTTCAACATTTCAAAACTACCCGATGGTGACCGATAAGTAGTATGAAAAGATGTTATGTCTTCTTTGTGTGGTTAGTCACCCCTCTTTGTCACGTCGCGATTGCATCAGCCGGTGAATGATAAAAGTTAAATCTGTCATTGATAAGAATATATAAAATACTACCTTTTCTTTTTTAATTTTTGTTTCTTTACTCGGTTATAAAAATTACAACGTTTTATCATACAATAAAATTTGTCATTTATGATTAATTGGATTGTTCAACTTATCAAAAACAGTTTCAACAGTCATGTTTTTATGTCTTGTAAAGTATACCTTTGAGACAAAATTTCCGTTGTACCTTGGAAGTCCCAAGATACAAGTTAAAGAGCAAAATAAAATTAGGAAGAAAAAAGATCTTTTGTTAATAAAATATATTTTTCCTGGAACAATTAAAAATAATAATAATACCAGGAATAAGAGTAAAGCCAAAACTCCAGTTATAGAATATTTTGTTCAGAGGATGAGCAAATGGTTTTTTTATCTTGAGAAGAAAATTGTAATATATATAATAATATTTATGCAAATGTTGATAAAATGAAGGAAGAACTGAATATGCCTTTGAATAAAATAATGACGATGAGAAAATAAATAAAATCATTATATTTAAGTTAAATTGTCTGATGAGAGGCAATATATTTTTACTATGCAGCAAATCAATTTTTGCAAAAGCCTTAAAAAAAAAATTAAAAATTAAAAAAAAAATAGTTTGAAGTTCAACATTTGCAATTTTAAAGTTGGAACAAGAAATTGATTGCAAAGATATATTATGTTTAAAATTTTTCTTTTTCTTCAAGAACGTTTGAAGGAGCGTTTAAAGCAAGTGATAAAGGTCTCTATTGATTTCAATGTGTATGACATGCCAATAGAATGATCTTGTAGTTAAAAAAACATTTTTTTTTAATCCTTTTTCTGGATTTTGCCTGTGCCTGCCTGTATGCGGAAATTTCACCAAATTTTCGCATACAGGCAGTTTAATAATTGTGTTAAGGTTCATTCAATTATAAATTTAAACTTTAAAAGCTTTATATAAACTTTGAATTTTGATATTCCAAATTGAAAAAGTGTTTAATTTTTTTTAAGATATTTTGGAGATTTAAAAACTAGGTAATATTAACTTTCGGTATACCGAAAGTTAATATTACCGAGAACACCATTTTTATTAGAAGACTTGAAATTTGAAAATATTTTGCATTAATAAGCAGTATAATTTAAAATAAAAGTGTTAGGGGAAAGTAAGGTATTGGCGAACACCTAAGCGGGAATGCAAATTAGAGACACCAATTATACAAAATTGATCATATTTATTGCTTATCATTTAGTCTAATAAATCAATCCCCAATAACAATTTTTATATATCTTATTATAAAATAAAAATTCAGGGCGAAAACAAAACCATTGGTGTTCGGAATTACCCAACGTACGTGGGGTAATTCCAAACATACCTTGGGGTAATTACAAACTCTGTTGTGTAATAACGAATAAAATGCTTGTTGTAATAACTAAGTGCAGAAATCACAGACAAAACCTCAAGATATGTTCACCTCCACCAGGCCTTACAATTGTAACACATAATCCAGTCGTCCATGGGCAGATCATGAAACTTTTCATCGCTGCTCAATACAACAACACTCTTTTAAAATTATTATTTTATTGACTCTTATAGTTTACCTCGCAAATTAAATAAAAAAATTCTGTATCACCTCTGGCTCTCTTTTTTTCTTTACATGATTGTACATAAACAGCCTCTAATAGATTAAAGTTCTTCTTTCTCTTTTTACTTTTGCCAGAAGTTTTTTTTTACTTCTTCCTTCTTATTTATATTTTGCTCTAAAATATTTCTCATTGGCGAAATAGTAATAATAATTGGAATGTTTCTTTCTTAAACATTCTCTCGTTTTCACTCTTTTAAATAAAATTCTAACAATTTATCTGTTAAAATCTAACATATTTAATACGATAATCTAACAACTATATTATTTTATATCTGTTAAAATTAAATGTGACAAAAGTAAGTAGCATTGAAGTTTTGGTCGCCTGACGCCCGTATAACATCAATGACTCTTTAAACGTTCGAAATTACCCTACTACAAACTACGTTTGTTTTTTCCCCGCGGACACAAACAAATTAATTACAATTTATCTATTGAGGTTGTGTTGACATATAGTGTATTGACATTTTAACACGAATTATACAAAATACAATACGTGTTAAAAACTCCTTGATTATGGTACTATACAGCGA